CCCTGGGGCAGGAGGGAGGCCATCCCAGGGCCGGGCGCCGCCGAGGACGTACCAGCCATCTGTGATGGTTGTGCAGCGCTGGCCCTGCACTGAAAACATTCCACTGGGTCACGTGCCCCTGCGGACAAATCGAAGACGAGGTGTCGGGAGCTCCTGATGAAAAAGCCACTGTCTCTCACCGTCCTCCCCGTGCCCCTGGGCTCCGCTCTGAGCTCTGGTGCCCACTTTCCACCGCTGCATAGCGTCAGATGACTGTTATTGCCCAGATTTCCTTAAGGCAGACGAGATCCCGGACTCTCCCAAGAAAGATAAGGAGTTAGCTCACGTTTCACGGCCTTCCACTCTTAAAAAATACATATACACACATACATGTACGTGTGTGCGCATGTGTTTAGATGTGCGTGTGTACATACACGTATATATATATGTAATATATTGACCCCCTCGGTCCCTGGAACCGCAGAGAGGAGACAAGGGCTCTGTTGGAGAGCAGGGGCAGGCAACTGTCACCGGGGGACTGTCACTGTCTTTGTGCTGAGGGCACAACCTGAACCTGGCGTGCCAGGAAGCACTCTAGTTACACCTATATTTCCTCCCAGTTTATTTAATCCCCATTTAATCTTTATTATTATCCCCGCTTTACGGATGGGGACACTTGGGCACAGAGAGGGCATGCAAATGGCCCAAAACACACAGCGGGGAAGTGTCAGAGCTGGCATGCGAACCCAGGCAGTCCAAACAAGCCGACAGCAAGGAGACCCCTTTCCTTCGACTGGGAGCCCCCCCAGTGGGCAGTATTTACAGCTGTGACCACACACAGTGTGAGGAGACGCTGCACCCCATGGGCCCCGTCACCCGACCCAGGGTGCACCCCACTCCTCCCAGCAAGGGCCTCCTCTCCGGAATTCAACAGGAGAGGAACACAGCAGCGCCTGAAGCAAGGGCAGCCAGCGCTGGCCCGCCACAGCCCCATGTTCTGCCAGGAGGGGTCTTTCTGGGGCTTTGATCTTGGCCCATGGGAAGACACAGCTCCTTGTTGCAGAGAGGCCCCTGAACGATAACAAAAAAAGTCTGCGATGAAGGTTTTAAGACAGGGCCTTGCTGTGCGAGTTTAGGCAAAACACTTACCCTCTCTGTGCCTCCATTTTATCTCTAAAGGTGCTATAACTCTCCATATTCTGCCAATCTTTCCAGAATGTCATGTCAACTACTGAGGAACTATGGGGAATTAAGCAAATCTGATTAAACGGACCAGCCAGCACCTCCCCAGGGACAGATGTGTACGACTAGGACCCTTCTGAGTGTGCCGAGTAAGTGCACTTACTCAGACTCGCTGTGTTCGGGGCGTACAGCCTGCCAGGGAACAGGAGTGCCAGGCCCTGTCCTTGGGAAACTTCCAGCGCAGGTGGCAAGAGTGGGAAGTGATCTTCGGTCAGTCTCCATGTCACGTAAGCAGGATCTTTGCTTTCAACTCAGCTTGGGCCTTCGGGGCCTCCCACACGCTCCCTCAGATGGGTCCGTGCACTTCAGAACTTTCTCTGCAGCTCATAGAAATGCTTAATTGTCAGGTACTGGGGACCTCATGCTCCTGCCTCACCTATTTCATGACATCTTGGGACCCATTGACAGTCTTCCCCCACATCCCACCTAGCAGCCTCCAGTCCAGCTTTCTACTTAGTAGCTGTGTGACCTCAGGCAAGTCGCTTAACTTCTCTGAGCCTCCATGGTTTAATCTAGTCTATTTTGAAACGGAAGTAATACGCATCCATCGTGAGTGTCAGGGTAGTTTGCGGGCCTCAAGCGGCAGCAATGCGTGTGCAGAGGGCTTTGTAAGCGGTCCAGGAACGCACAGCCTTGCAGTTAGGGACATTCCCCCACTGCTGCTCGGAACAAGTGGCTCACGGCTCTGCATGAAAAGCCTTTTTTTCTCTGCGCCCTTCCCCTCAATCCTCTGGCCTTTCTCTCTGGAAACACTGAGCTTCCCCAGCACACAGCAGCCTGGGAAGTCCCCTGACGCCAGGGTGCTGGGGGAGCCCCCGGAGCCGGGGGTCAGCCGGGGTCAGCTCTCCTTCTGCCCCACTTCGCGCTCTTAAAAGCGGTGACTCCACGAGCTCCCTACCAACGGCTCCCTTCCCAGGAGCGTGTGGTACGGGGTCTCCCCTGCTCTCCAGCAGGGGAGACCTGCTCCAGGACCCCTCGGCGGGGCGCCCCCCAAACCTCCTTTCTATTCCCTTCTACTTCCTCCGCCCAATTTCTGTCTCCACTATCCCCTCTTCAGCCCAACATGAGAAGCGATTTGGATCAGATCATTCTGAAATCTGCTTGGGAGCCTCTGCGGATCCCCGCCCCCCGCAGATCCCGCCCCTCCCGCGGATCCCCGCCGCCCCCCCCGCGGATCCCCGCCCCCCCCCCCCCCGCGAATCCCCGCCCCCGGCAGCAGGGCCCAGATCCTTCCCGCATCACGACCGCAGCCCCGCAGCCCGCTCCCAGCCTCGGCGCAGCACCCGGCCCAGGGCAGGTGCTCAGGGCTTGAAAGGCCCCCTTGCTCTGCCCGCCTCCCGCTGCAGAGGTCCGAGCCCCTTTTCCTCCCCGGACCGGCCGAGGGAGCCCCCTTGCCATCCCTCCCCCCCCCCCCCCCCCGCAGCTAATTTATGGAAATCTTGGCCTTTCCTCCCCTTTTTGACATTTGCACTGTGAGAAAGGGAAGCTTTTCCAGTCTCGGCTTCCAGCGGATGGACAGTCCTGGCCTGCGGCAGTGGATCTGAATAGGTCAGAGGTCATGGTCACTGGGGTCAGTTGTGTGGGCCGCTCACAGAGGGGGTTAACATTTGCAGCGCGGTCATATTTCTCCCGCCGCTGCGTGTATGCACATCTCCAGTGCCATCCGCACAGGGGGGTCCGTTTCAGGGGGAGCTGTGTGTGGGCTCTGGGAAACTTCCAGAACCCAGATGGACGCACACACGAAGGCCCTCCTGATACTGTGGATGGTACAGGGGGCCAGGGTCGGGGGGAGGCCACTCTCCTGGAGCACAACACATAGGGAAACGTCCCAGATGCAGAAATCGTGACAAAGACTATTTTCCTGCAATATTTTCAAGGTCAAACAATGCAAAAAATTCAAGGTGAACCAAATAGCAAAATTTTTAGTGAAGTCAAGATGACCCTTCACTTGTGCACCGTGCCCTCCACACCTCATCCGAATTCCCGCCGGGCCCGTGATGAGCAGCCGCTGGTACCTGTCACAGCCTCTCTCAGGCCCAGCCGGTGGTGGACGCCCCTGCAGCCAGCTGCCCTCCGTGGGCCAGGGCGGGCGGGCGTTTGCGGAGAAGGCGAATCTTAACGTGTTCATGTTCTGGAAAGCACGACCCCCACTTTTGTCCTGTGAGACGGTAACAGTTCACCCACCCATTTCTGCTCAAGGGGCCCAGGGAAGGCCTGTCTTGCCCGGGATGCGAAGCAAGCCCAGCCTGTTGTGTTTCTCCTCCAGAATGTGCCAGACAGTCAAACCTCTGGCGAATTCTGTTCCCATGTGCTTGCTGGATGATACGGAAATGGACTGCAACTTCACCTGGCCACAGGTGTCCCTGTGCCCCCTGGCATCTCCAGGAGCTGCCCCGGCCTCTGTCCCTTCCTGCACGCACCCCTCTACTGCAGCACGGAGCCCTTGCTGTCCCCTCCACCCGGAAGGCGAATTCTCTTTCTCCAGCTCACTGCTTGGCTGTTCAGGTCTCATCTTAAAATATCACCTTCTCCGAGCTGCCTTCCCTGAACACCTGAGCCATCGACTGTCCCTGTGATCATTCTTGGTGGCAGCACCTTGTTAATTTTTGGTGGCCTAGTGGTTACATTCGGGGCACTCCTCTTTAGCGCCCAGGTTCAGTTCCCGGATGTGGACCTACACCGCTTTGTTAGCGGCCCTGCTGTGCTGGTGGCCCACATACTAAGGAAAAAGAGGAAGGCTGGCACAGATGTTAGCTCAGGGTGAATCTTCCTCAGCAAAAAAATTAAAAAATGAACTCACAGCGTTTGCTTCCTGATGTGCTCAGTGCCCCGCCTGCCCCCCCATCAGACTGGGCGCCCCAGGGTGGGCTGTCTTTCTCATGGCGGATTCTGAGGTCTAGCCCAGGGCTGGGGACACCGCGGGCGCTTGATCAATCTTGACCTTATGAACACGCTTTCAAGTGGTGCCCTCAGTTTAGGAGGTCTGAAGAGCAGACCCCTGCAAACCGAACCAGTGTACCCGTCCGCATTTTCTGAATGGAAGGCTGGATCCTCCTGGGGTGGTGTGGGGTGTCTGGGGGGTGGGGGGGCGCGGGGGGAGCTGGAAATGCAAGGACCCGCTTGTTAGCCATCGATCAGAAAGCAGCCCCATTTCCACGCAGCGCTGTCCACCCCACAGGCCCAAAGGGTGGCCTTGGGAAACCGGATAATGGGCAATGGAGACAAGCACCCAGGCGAGCGCGGGAGCTTCAGAACACGGCAAAGGGGCGGCGTTCCCGCGGAAACAGAGGCGCGAAGGGCCCCTCCTGAAGCCCCCTGGGCATTTAAACATCTCGTTGCCGCCCCCATGGAAGTTACAGCTCTTCTGAAACAGACGAGTCTCAGGACTTTTTTCGTGGGACTTCGGTGAGATGGAGAAAATCTTAGTGGCCGAGTCAAACATTATGTTGCCCACTGCTGTTCCTCCGGGTGATCGGGGCCCCCACAAGTCACGCCTCCGGTGTTTATTCGGGGGGAGGGGCGCAGAGAAAACCCTCCTCCGCGCGCCGGCCTGGCCGGGTGTGCCGCCCCCCAGCGCGGGACCGGGGGTGGGCAGGGAGGAGGGGCCGGGAGGGGAGGAGGCGGCGCCTAGAAAAGGAGGCGCGGGCCGGGAAGGTGCGGAGCGGGCGGCGTGCGCTCGGGCTGGGCCGGCCGCGGGCGCGGAGCGCGGGGGCGGGAGCGCGGCGGCGGCGGAGGGCGAGGGCCCGGCGGGGCAGCGCGATCGCGCCGGCGGGGAGCCGGGGGCCGGGGCGCGGGGGGCGCCGGGCCTGCCGTGCCGCCTCTCGGCTCTGCCCGCAGGTTCCGGGCGCGCAGCCCTCGGCCCGCCGCCGCCTGCCCCGGGCCCCGGAGCGCGGTGGAGGAGCCCCGCGAGGAGCCGGGGGCCCGCGCCCCGCGCCCCCCAGACATGGTGGGCCACCTGCATCTGCAGGGCATGGAGGAGAGCCTCAAGGAGAAGAGCCGGGAGGGCCTGCTGGACAGCCCAGACTCCGGGTTGCCCCCCAGCCCCAGCCCCAGCCCGCCCTTCTACTCCCCGGCGCCTGGCATCCTCGACGCCCGCGCCGGGGGCCCCGGCGCCTCCTCGGAGCCCCCCGGACCCGGCGAGGCCAGAGCGGTAAGCGCGCGCCTTCGCGCATGCCGGGGACGGGCCCGCGGGGGGGAAGGGGCTGCGCGCGCCGCGCCCCCAGACGCGGTTCTCAGGAAGCCAGGACCGGGTCCCCCTTCTCCCTCACCCAAGAAGGCGGTCCGGTGACAGCCACACTCCCAGGTGGGGACCAGGGCGCGTGGGCAGGGTGGCCTGACCCCGGGACCTGCAGACCTCTCCCTGGCGGTGGACCTCTCCACGGAGCCGTTCGTCTGACTGTCAGCAATGAAAGGGCAGGGGGTGAAGGACCGTGTCCGAAACTTCCCAGGAAGTTGGCTCGTACCTGGGTGGGCTTGGAACCCCGGCCGCAGCAGTGCAGATGTCCGACCGGACCCAGGGCCCTGGGCCGCTCCTGACCGGGTCCCTGTTTACTGTTCCCGGAGCTGCCAACGTGAAAGCCTTTTTTTTTTTTTTTTAAACCAAATCCAGACAGGAGCCCTTCCTTCCCGGGATGTTGAGGGATGTTGACGTGGTGCCTGGGGAGGGCTGGAACCCCAGGTCAGGAGGCCCCAGAGTTCTGTCTCTCAGCAGACTTGGAGGGGCCTCCAGGTGGCCTTGGGTGGGCACCCGGCTTGCCTGGGATGGGATGTCCCCAGCAGGCCTGAGCAAAGCAGGCGAGTCAGGCGCCTGCCCGACTTGAGGAAATAAGTTGAAATCGGGAGGTTCCTGGCAGTCCCAGAGGCAGTTCCCTGTTGTCGCCCGCTCTCTGCAGCGTCTTTATATCCTTTCTGCTGAGTGTATGTGCCAGCACGACTCCAGCCCGGCTCCGGTTTCCTGGGGCCCCGATGATGCCCGCCTGGTAGCTGGCAGGGCAGTGCATGCCTCCCCCCATTGAAAATCCTCCAGGCAGCGGGAAGGATGGTCCCCCTGCCCCAGGGCTAATGACATGAATTCCACTTGTGCCTTCCCTGCTCTGTAGTCCAGTGGGTCTCCAACCTGGCTGGGCTTTGGCATCTCTTGGGGCTCTTTAAAAAGTACCCATGCCCGCCTCGCACCCCCAGACATTCTCATCCAGTCGGTATAGGCTGCAGCCTGGGCATCAGCATTTTTAAAACTTCCCCAGTCATTCTAATGTGCAGGTGGAGTTTGGGAACCACTATCTGTGACCAAAATCACGCCGTGAACTTGAACTTTTTAGTCTCTTTTTGGGGCTGGGGATGGGAGGGGCGTTGGGGACTTCCGGGGGCTGACAGAGGTGACCAAGGCTGTTTGGAGTGAAATCGATCCTGCTGTCTGTACGGGCCAGCTCTCCCGCCTGAGCGTCTCAGACCTGGCACAGTCCCAGGGAGGGTGTTCGGGCTGCTTGTGTGGGAATGGATCATGCCTCACCCGACGGGGCCCAGAGCAAAGGGCTGGGAGCCAGCCTTCCCTCTGGTCTTGAATGACCCAGAATCCTCCTGAAGGAGGGTTTTCTGGCTGTTTTCTCGGCCAGCCAGGCCAGCCAGGGGCAGGCATGCGAACAGCGTGCCTGGCTTCCTTGTCTTGGCTGCTCTAGTTGATTTTATTTTTCCCTTCCTTGCTAACTAGATGCCAGGTATGGAGCTGCGCTCTCCCTGCTCTTTTCATTTGGCTCAAAGGCAAAACCTGGGCCAGTTCTGTGCAGGGTAATAATGTCGGGCGTTCAGACAGCCCTCCCCGAGGCCGGGGACTGTCCCGACCTTTCCTGGCATCACCTCATTTGATTTTCCCCATATTCCCATGGAAGCCTGTGCTCTTATTGCCCCCATTTCCAGAGGGGGAAGCTGAGGCACAGAGGTCAGCGACTTGCCCAAGGTCGCCAGCTGCTAGGTGGCCGTGCTGTGGACACTCCCTGGGGATCTGGCTGCAGGATCCCCACCCTTAACCTGATGCATCCCATGTTTCACTGTGTGCCTGGTTAACTACCTGTGAGGGGCTTCTTTTGTGATTAAAAAACAAAATGCCTGTGAACCTATGGGGTTTTGAGATGCCGCTTTTAATAAAAAGAGAGGAAGTGGTTGCCACGGGCACCCTCTTCCCAGCCGTGGGGCCTGCTGCTGGCGCGCTGCCCACCGACCCGTTACTGCCGCAGGGGGGTGCCCCACCTGTGAACTCGTAGGGAACATTGCCAGTCTCGTGTTTGACGACACCCTGCTTGCTGATGACGCATGAGCACACTTTCCAGGTGCAGAGATAGGCAAAAGCTCGGCTGCTGATCTCGCCCATCTCAGGGGAAAGGGACAGAAACCTGTCGTGTGTCCTGGAGCCGATGGTTTCCAGTACCTGAGGACAGGCTGGTGGCAGGCCAGGCTGGGTTTCCTCTGGTGACCCCTCAGCCATGGGTCTCAGACCATGTGGGTCTGGGATTCAGCCTGCTCTGCACGGGGTGTGGTATCTTTGCTCCGACACCCAGTTCCCAGCACTGCCTTTGGGGTCAAAGTCGGTGGCACATGTGCTGCATGCTGTCCCCAAACCCAGCCACTGAGGTGCCCGAAGCTGGTCACCCTGCTCATTATGCTGGATGTGCACGTTCCGTTTGCTCATGCTTCACTGCATCACGAAGGTCCCATTTTTCTCCCACTTTGTTTCAATAAGCTGGGCTTACCTTCGGGACCATGCCCCATTGAGGCTGGGTGTCTGGCTGGCTGAGAGAGTGCCCCCAAGATGTACGAGGCATTGGGACCAGGCCGGGTGTGAAGGAAGCCCCACCCCAGCTTCACCACTGGTCTTTCTTGCTCACTCTTAGAAGCAAAGAGAGTAATGTTCCTGGTGATTCCCAAACCCAGTGAAGACCCAGGCGTCAGCCCTTCGTCGCCCCTGCACTTGCTGAGCACCTCCTGTGTGCCGTGCGCTGATCTGGACTGTGGGTGACACAGCAGTGAACATGCCATTCAAGGCCCCGACCTCGTGGAACTGGCATTCTAGTGGGAGACGCAGAGTCACCAACTGGAATAGGTGACACAGCACCAGGTGGGCTAAGTGCCCTTGAGACAAAACGCTGGATGAGGGGAGAGCTACAGTTGACAGGGTGCTCAGGGAAGTGACATTTAATAGGGCCAGACAACACTGAGGGAGTGGACTTTATGGTTATAGGGCTGAAGTATGTGCCAGTCCAAGAGAACGGCAAGTGCAAAGATCCTGAGGCGGGAACAAGACGGGCGTGTTCGGGGAGCGGCAAGCAGGCAGCAGAGGCAGACGGGCACTTGGGGGCCAAGCGGAGGCCAGAGAGTAAGATGCCCTTTGGTCTTTTAAAAAGGCACTTGTGACCATTTTATTTTTATTTTATAAAAGGCATCATGAGCTCCCACATCCCCCAAATTAGAAACCCAAATCAGACTGGACTGAGAGAGACGCTGGTGAGGAGCGGGACCTGTGTGGGGCTCTCCTGCAGGACGCGGGGACAGCCAAGGCCACCTGCTGGGCCAGGAGGGGTTTGCCTGTCGGCGGCGTTCATCCCTCAGATATTTGGGGCAGGCTGGGCGAGGAATACAGCGTGAAGAAGACAGATGCCGTCTGTGCTGCCTGTGGGCTCCCGGGCCTGGCCTGTCACCGCCAGGTGGAGGGGACAGCCAAGGTCCTTCCTCCCTCCTCCTGGTCCTGCCTGTCCAAGCTATGGGGCTTGGGGGCATCGTGCGGAGAGGGATCATGCGTCCAGGAAGGGTGAGTGGGGGGTGCGGCAGACGCCCATCCCCCCGAGTCATGGGCAGTTTGGGGAACTAGCCCTGTTCCATCTCACTGGCCTCGGGGAGACCACAGGTGGCATTTGGGGTCTCAAGTCATGTTCTCTGGGTGCATGTTAGAGAGAACGGGGTGGGGGCGAGATGTGGACAGCTCACCTTCTGTGGCTGACGAAGGACTCAGTCCGCTGTGGAGTGGTTACAGGAGGTGGCGTCCGAGCTGGTACCCCCTGAGACGTGGAGATGGGTTCTCCAGCAGCCGGCAGCCTGGGCTCCATCGTACGTTGCTCCTGTCACTCCCATCCGATCTCCCGGGGTCTGTTTGTCCATTGAGTGTATTTCTGAGTGGCACACTTGAGGATTTCCCTAAAGACGAGGTGCTGGTCCCCAAAGCCAGGTTCTGAGGGAAGCCCGGTGACCAGGTCTGGGTGGGGGATGGGGAGCCAGTTATCTTTGCCCCATCCTTGAAAATTTCCCATGGCTTTCGGCTCTTTGAGGCCACCCATGGTCACAGCTGCCTCTTGGGATCTTGGCTGTCACCACCTCCCCCGTGGGACTCCTGGATTTTCTCATTTCTCTGTTTCTGGTCTGTGATGGCAAAACCAAGGTTGAGGGAGGAGACGGAAGGGCATTAGGGACTTCGGGAGTTAGTGCCCGGGATTGGAAAGGATGGATGGACAGAAGAATGGATGGACAAAAGGATGGATGGATGGATGGACGGATGGATGGATAGATGGACAGATGGATGAATGCATGGACAGAAGGATGGGTGGGTGGACAGATGGATGGATGGATGGACAGAAGGATGGATGGATGGACAAATGGATGGATGGATGGATGGATGGATGGACAAAAGGATGGATGGATGGACAAATGTATGGATGGATGGACAGAAGGATGGATGGATGGACAGAAGGATGGATGAATGGACAGACTGAGGAGACAGGGGTCAGCCCCATGGCCCCCTTGCAGGCTCACAGGTGTGTCCTTGACCAGTGAAGGTGCCTGAGCGGGCTCTGGTGGAAGAGAGCCAGGTGGGTCAGGCCCGCTGGGAGGAGCCGTTTGCGGAAGGAAGGCCTCGAGGAGAGAGGGGAGCCAGAAAAACTGCACCTCCTCCAGCCCGGCTGCTTCAGCCTGACGGTCGGCCTCCAGCGGAAACGCGGCAGAGTCTCTGGCAGCCCCGCAGCTCCGTGCAAGGCTCACCTGTGTGAGAAGCTCTCTGTAGGTTTTGTGTGAAAAGAAGACAAATAGGCCCCGGCCCAGCCAGCTGCTGGGGAGACGAGACGGACGGACGGGGGAGCCAGCGGGAGCTGCCTTCCTGGGAAAAATGCGCTA